TGGGGGCAGGGGCGGGGGCACCGTCTGGCTTTTCTTCTACAATACCAACCTCGCCTTACTCCCTGGCCATGGTCCCTCGGGGCATCCTTGTGCTGGGGGTTTAGAAGAGGTTTTTGGGTATCCTGAACCCAGTGGGGGGGTGAGGCCGCAACTCATGAAAGGGCAATGGGCGTATGTGCCCTTTTCCTAAAATGCTGTTGTAAGTAAACAAGTTAATCCCTGAGAAATTGCTCCAGGTTTGCTTCAGTGGCTTTGGGGTAGGGGGAGCCATAGGTGGGACCTGCAGTGTGGCAGCCCAGCCCCCCCCACAGGAAACTGAGGGATACCTGGAGGAGGGCAGGCAGGGGCCCAGGGAATGCAGATTCTCAGGCGCACCCAGACGGATAGAATCTGAAGTAAGGTTTACCTTGAAATAATTTTAAACAATGTGGTTGAGACTATTTAAGGATGGGTATTAGAGCCTTTTTCACAGCCCGTAGGCGACCCTTCCCACTGTTGGGCAGCCCCATCAGAAAGAGCCCTGATGCAGTGGGGGCGTTGACAGGGCTCGGCCAGCTCCAGGGAAACCCGTTTGCTTTTTTCCTTCATTACATTAATTTGATCCTAGGTGATCAGCAAATACCCACAAATGTGTCTCCTGGTCACTTTAGATCCTTCTGGAGAGGGTGCCAGCTGGTGGTTAGAGGCAGAGCCCCTGCCCACTGAGGCCCTGCCTGGCTCCCAGGGCCTGGGGAACTCACACGTCATAGAGGAGTCTGAGGGGAACTGATAACAGGAGGGGCTGCCCAGGTCCGCGTGGGCCCTGCAGGGCAGGGGCGCCTGAGCAGAGGAACTCCTGCCTATGTCAGGCTGAACCCACGCCCAGTGTTAAAGCCTGCCCTGTCCAGAGGGGGCGTTCTCAGGCCTGGAGAGGGCTCTGACATGTTGGGGGTCCCAGGCTGGTTCAGTGACCCATGAGATTATTCATCTCAAGACGTATCTACCGAATGTCCAGCAGGCGGTGCTGTTCCCCTCCTGCCCCCTCAAGCTGTGCCCTGCAGGGTCCGGCAGGATGTAGTTCTTTATATGTGAGGAGACCCTGCAGGTGTGGCTCCCGAGAGGCCTCTTGCTCAACCTTGCTTCTATTCTGTCAACAGGGACTGAGCCAAGGGTGGGTGTGCGTGTGGGTGTATGTAGGTGTGGGGGGGTGCAGGTGTAACTAGGGGGGTGTAGGTGTGTAGATGTGTACAAATGCAGGGGCATGACACGGGAGCCTGGACTGTTTTTAAAGACCCTCCAGCAATGTCTATGTGAAGCCCCCTTCAGACCCTGAGCCTTTCCAAGACTCAGCATCCTGTGCCTGGATGTCCAGCCAGGGGCTATTTCACAGAATTTGCCTTGGGACATGCAGGAGAGTTCCTATAGGATAACACACCCTCAGGGCTCGGGGGTCAGTGCCTTTATTGAGGGTCCACTGTGGGCCTGTCACCTGAGCTCCTTACAGCATGCTGCCCAGGTGAGCCCAGGTGTCTGCTCAGGACAGGACAGTCCTTGTACTCAGGGAGCGCTGTTCCTGGAGCCAGGGGTGCTCTGTTGGCCAGTCTTCCCTGAGCTTCAGGATCCCAAGGGGTTTGTTCCCCAGGGTGTCATAGAAGACACAGGCTGAGGAGGAGGGAGGCAAGGGAGGCCAGCAGGGCCCCCGACGGGTGGCGGAGGCTGGGGGCCTCTGAGTAGCCATACTTCGTCCTGCAGGAATCCCCCAATTCCTTCAGTGGGATGGGCTCCTCCTCAGGGTCCTGGGTGTGGTTGCTGGCCTGGGGACAAACACGGTTGGGCTGCCTGCCTGCCTGCCTGCCTGCCTGCCTGCCTGCCTGGGAGAGGGGCAGGCAAGTGGAGAAGCTCTCCTCACCTGCTCCACCGCCTCAAAGACCCTCAGCAGATTATAGGCCAGGGCACCCTTGACCTCCGCCTCCGTCCACTGCCTCCTGAGCAGCTCCGCAATCAGGTCTGGATACTTGGACACATCCTCAAGCCCCAAAGGGAGTCTGAGATGAAGGCAGAGAGGATCAGGCTGTGCATCGCGGGCATCAGAGGCCTGGGGAGCCGTCCACCTCCCCATCCTGAAGCACTGGGGGTCCAGTGGGGTGGCCCTCAGAGTAGACATGCTGGGAAGGTCCTCAGGACACACTTCCCTCCTCTAGCCCCTCATGACGGGTTCCTGAGGGTCATGACCCTCCAGCTCACACACGGAACACAGTCTCGGTCCTCACCTTGAAACACCATCAAAGTCCCCACCAAAGCCCACGGCTCCAGCTCCCGCCACCTTCTTGATGTGGTCCAGGTGATCTGCAGGGGAGGTAGCAGGTGTAGGCCTCCCTGTGAGAGGCCTTTCCCTGCGGAGCCACGAGGCTGCTCACACACACCTACCTGCTACTTGAGACAGGTTGGCCTCCTTTTTGCAGGCAACATAGTCATTATAGAAGTTCACCATCACCAGGCTGCCCGTTTGATTCTGCTCAAGATAGAGAGGAGTGTGGGCATGGGGGCAGCCTGGAGCCCCTGATGACCACCCGTGAGGCCCAGGACCCGCCTGGAGCACAGAAATGCCCTCACCACCATCTGGAGCACGTCGTCGGGCACGTTTCGTTGGTGCTTGCACAGCTTATAGGCGGAGGAGTGGCTGAAGATGACGGGGGCCTGGGACTGGTTCAGAGTGGCCTTCATGGTGGCCACAGACACGTGGGCCAAGTCGATAATGACACCCAGCCGATTCAGTTCCCTCACCACGCTCTGAGGGGACATGGAGCTCGGGATGGGGAGAGCCCAACCCTGGTCATGGGGGTGATGGCAGGCCCCCTGGGCCAGGTGGGCTGCACTGTGTACACTTGTGTTGGCACGGCCTTCTGGGGCTCACCGCTGGCCCCTGAGAGATTCAGGCAGGGGGCAGGGCATTTGGGCAGGGGCCCCTTCCTGGCCAGGTGTTAGACCCTTCAGTGGCTAGGAGATTGGGGCCACTCTAATGACCAGTGGGTTCCAGCTGAATACCCACTCTGGGATGACCCTGGCCAGCTCTGTTTTGCAAGTGAGGAAACTGAGATCCCAGGAGGCAAGACACTGTGTCCTGGGTCATGTGTCCTCTGAGGATTACTGTGGTCCTTGCCCCTGCCACTCACCTTCCCAAAGGTTGACAGGCCTTGGCTCTGGGCCTTGTCATCCCCTGTGTCCACCAGCCAGTTGTCGGCCCTGGGAAGGAGGAGAGTGGTCGTCCCCGCCCATCTGAGCCCACTTGTGGCATTTCCTCAGGCCTGGGCCTCCCTGGTGTCACTTACCAGGGCGTGTTACAGCTGTGCGTGAGCGTCAGGTACCGCATACCCAGGTGGTAGAGTGCCCGCAGGACACCAAGGCTGCTGTCAATGGAGTGGCCGCCTTCTACGCCAACCAGACTGGCCACCTTACCCTGGTCGAAAGCCTGTCGGATGCCTGTGAGAAGAGCCAGGTTGGGACTGTGGGCACCTGGGTGGCAGGTATGCCTTAGCATCCAGGGGGAGCATAAACCCAAGAAAGGCTGAGCTGCACCAGCACCCTCTGCTCAGGATGAGGGTGCTGTGGGGTCAGGGGGGTGGGCTGGGCCAAACCTACCTTTGCTGTTGGTGACGCACAGGAAGGTCTCCGGGTACATCTGGCACATTCGGTGGATGACGTCAATCTGCTCCAGGGTCCTCCTCACGGCATCTTTGTTCTGGGTCTCGCAGGGTGTGTACGCTGACCAGAACTGGGGGCCACAGGGGCAGGGGCTAGGACCTGAGGCTCCAGGCCCCACCCCCACATGCATATGAATGTCTGGTCCCCCCTTCCCCAGTTTTTGAAGCCATCCCCACAGCCTGAGTGGCTATCAGAGTACCCTCCAAAGGCCTGTGGCCCCAAGGAGATTGGCTGGGGGGGGAGCACCACCAGGGAGGGGCTGCACCTTAGCTAGGACCCCAGGGAGAAAGAAGAGGGACTCGAGCACAGGGCTAGCCAGGCCGTACCTGGCCCCCCACAAAACCAGCCTTCAGCTTGGGGATGTTGGTGTGTGTGCCGGCCAGACTGGTCAGGTTGGCCGTCTCAATCCGAAGCCGATTGTTGAACATGGTCAGCAGTTTCCAGGGTAAGTCATTGTGCCTGGAGGGGGCAGGAGGAGGGATAGGAGGCAGGTCATGGTGGCCACTTGAACTTGGGGTTCCAAGCTCCTTTCCTGGCCTCTATCCCCTCTCCAGTTTCTTCTTCTCACGTGCTCAAGATTAAGGTTGGCCACAAGGGACACAGATTACTCATTGCCTAAACACACCTGAGCCAGGTAACCTGCGCTGAGAGCCCTAAATGGGTATATTGCCTCTCCAAGGGCCTTTCCTCGGTGTCCTAGGTGTGTGTTCAAGCAACACAGGCCCCTGGGAGCTGATTAGAAAGCAGTTTCAGGCCCAGCCAGACCCACCAGTTGAATCTGGGCTTTACCAGTCACTGTGAGCGAGTGCATGCACACACACATGTAGCACACACCACACACAATACACAAATGCACACATGCATCACACAACACACAAGCACATGCTACACAGAAGTGCACATACCACACACATCTGCACACATGCACACACATGGGACATCTAGGAGGTGCCCTCTGGATTCCTAACCTGTTAATGAAGGGACTGTGAGGGCAGTCTGGGCCTGGAGGGGGCTTTGGATGCCACTGTGAGGCCCCCCACCATGCCACCCCTTCCTCTGGAAGTGGCCCCTGCTCTCTGGGGAGGGGCAAGAGGTTCTGTGAATTGTGAGATTTGATTGTTATGACAGGGCTGGGATGGGGTCAGGACACCTTTGTTGCCTGAGTGATGGAGAGCGAGCAAGGTCACTAAGATGGGTGGGGGACGTTTGGGCTCTGGCTGATGTCCCTAGGGCAGGGCTGGACAGGGCCTCTGAAGGGGACAGTACTCCTTTCCCAGAGGACCTCCAGCCTATCTGGAAATCCAGCCCCACCCTCCAGCTGCCACCCAGAGGGAGGGGCACGTTGTGTGGTGTCCCCTGGCCCTCAGCCTCTCCATCCACTGCTGGAACCTGAAGTGGGGGAAAGAGGCTGCCTCCACCCCACGTCAGCCCTTCCACTCTGGAGCCTGCTGCCCACCCTCCTTATCTTAGTGGCCTGGGCGTCCTCCTCAGCAGTGGCGAGGCCCACTCAAGAGGAAGGTGAGGCTTCTTAGTGCTGGAAAGCGCCAGACAGCAAACACACTTGGCAGCGGTTGTGGGAGACTCTGCTGGCTGCCATTCTGCTCCTTTTCCCTGTTAACAGCCCCGCCCCCCCATTTCAGCAGGGCACAGGGTCACCCTTGTAGTGCTGGGTGTGGCCATGTAACTAAGTCTGCCTGGTGACAGCTCCCAAAAGTTGTTCCTGACAAACAGCTGTTTTTCACCCTTTTATTTCTGCTGGGTGGCAGGCAGATGTGATGGCTGGAGCTGGGCAGCCACTTTAAACCATGAGGTGACCTGTGGAATGGTGGCCACACCAAGTTCCTGGCACTGTGGAATGCCGTGCCAGGACTCCCTCTGGATTTCTCTACTGTTGAAGCTACTTATTTGGGTTTCTTACCTGCAATAATAGCTAGTACTAACTGATCCCCTATTATTGGTTTTGATTCTGTCAGCCTAGCACTAGCTTTCCAAGTCTTTGGACAACCCTAGCTCCCTGAGTATTCCCAACTGTCTGGCCTCTGAGCCATCTTACTCCACAATGGGCCTCTGCACAGCCCCCAGAACCTGTACTTGAACCCCCTCTTTCAGCTGCCCCGAGTCCCCTGGAATGAAGGAACAACTCCTCTGGCTCCAGCTGTTAGTATCTTCCACCCACCCCTGCCACCCTCCTGCCAGACGGTGGGACTCCAGGGTGGAGTCAAGTGTGCATGAGGAGACCCTCCAACCAGACCGGACACCGAGGAGAGCAGAGGGTGCAAGGTCCAGGGAGGAGACGGAGGGGAGGGTGGTGGGGGCAGGTGGATGCATGCGCCTGACACCCTCCTCTGGAGCTGCCACAACTCCCTGTTTTCTCTGCTTACCTTGCAGAGTTTTTTGTCCAACAAAACCCAGAGGCTTCTGCCAAATAGTGATGACTGCACATTATCGAGCACTTATCATGTGCCGGGGGGGGGGCTCTGCTCACACTGCCAGCCCCCAGAGTGCCAGTGAGTGCAGGTGCCCCTCTGTGAGTTGGGTGCATGGGGACCCAGTTCCTGCTTTCATCCCAGGAGTCGCACTGCAGCAGATAGGCAGGGGTGAGCGCAGGGGTGTGACACATGGGTCAGGAAAGGCCCACCACTAGGGTGGCCCTGCACACAGCCCTGAAGGGGCTGAGGGCAGAGTATGGGTGCAGGATGAGCAGAGACAGTGTGAGGCGGCTGGGGCACTGGGAGGACCAAGGTCAGCTGGAGCCATGGGGCG